AGAGTAAAAAACAGTAAAGTGATACGCGGTCAGTAAACGGTTGAGAACCACTGTAGTATATTTATACTGGGACTTATCTAAGTATTACTGCACTTCGAGTATACCCTGAAAGCGAAGTGTCAAATATTGCTACTGATTACCAAAGGCTAAAGGCTAATTGCCCTGTTACCTATAGCTGCGATTTTCATGTTTATAACCAATGTGAAAAGTTCATTACGACAGCGTAATAATGACGTCACATTTTTCTTCACGTTTGTTGTTTGTTATCCTTCAGGGTGGCAGTATTGTACACACAGATATGAGTATACGCTAACCGTTTGCGTTTCACAGATTGCACCGGCGAGATAACTTTCGAAAAATGTGTCAATACGGATCACATTAGGTAATTATTCTGCGGATAGTTCGGGTTTCTCAATATGAAACAACTTGTAAATTTCATTATTAAATTCATTATGAAATTACACAGATCTCCAAATTAGTTTTTCAATTCGTTCATTTCAATAGTTTATTTTGTGCAAATGTTAAATCTACTTTGTGCATCATGAAAAAAAAAAATTTTTTTTTGATATTCAGACATGAGACTAAAAAGCATGCAATTTCAGGTCGGTAAAAATATAAGATACGAAGGAGCAATATTCGTGCCCACTCTCTCGGCATACCAATTATTTACATTTTTATCTCTGTTGCTCTTGTCGATAGTATATTTTTTATCCTTCAGTACCTTCCCAAAAATCACAATATCAATCAATTTTTAGTTTAAAATGTTTTATTATAAAAAATGTTGCGAAATCGCTTATTCCATATTTTGTTGGTGTCGTTACTTTACAAGTAAGGTCAGAAGAAATTTCCCGGTAAATTGTTGACATCTTTATTGTTTCATAAAGTATAAAAAGTTTCGGTATTACTCAAAAGAAATTCTGGTTATCAAAAAAAAAAGTCATTATGACACAATTCACGTCTAAATTTAATCACTAAAATAACAATTATACAACAAAAATCAACTTTCTAAATTTCTCGGCGACCAATCAAGATATATGCTCCAATAAAAAAAATATAAGCGGCCATGGCATGGACGGGTATTATGTTGGTTGTATATATCTTTGGACCAAACTAGATCAATCAGTTTCTCCTGCTGTATGGTATTTATTAAAACATAGCAGCGTTGAACCTCGGGGCATTTTCTTATTTTGTTCGAGTTCCTGAGTTGCTATGAAAAAAACTTGGAAAATCAATCTGCATTCGGAAGTAATTAAAGTAACTACTGTTGCAGGTAATAACACGGAGAAATAAATCGTTAAGTATATTCGATTGTATGATGTCACTATTTAATTAGTCAGAGGTTGCATTATAAACAAAACTCTATACATACTCTATTGCATAGAAATTCTGGTGTAATACAGGCTTTTTTTATTATGTTTTTTTATTGAATAGTTGAATGATTGAGATGCAAAAGTATTCGCCACTGGCAATGACAAGTTATCAGCGTTGTTTGTGATATGATTGTAAACTTCGGTTTCTGCTTGAAGCTTCTGCAACAGACTTGCGATATTTTGGCCTGTCTTTTTATTCAGATATTTGAGAAGAAGACAGGAAAACTCACTTCGATTTACGTCCGGTCATTGCTGTGGATTGCTTTATTGCGATTTGCTAGAGAATGTGAGTTTCATATGTCAGATAAAGCATCTCGGTTGCCACGCCTACTTGTTGAAGCTTATAGTAATGTATTGATGCAATATACATTATTCATTCAAAAGGCCGTGTCAGCTCGGCTCTGGACTATGAAGGTATTTCCCATAGCTTGGTATAGATTACAACAGGCGTGTAAATCCAGCATAACGTAACTGCATTTCTTTAAATAAGTTCGATATCCAACGTTCGGTTGGAAAGTGTGTATGAAGTACAATCTGTTTTATACTGAACTGTATTACACGAGAATATTATACCAACCAAGTGGATTGTTGGAGACGGCGTACAGTCGCAATGATTTTTCAGGTTGGCAGTATATTGAAGTCTTAGCAACGTTTACGATGAAATAATCTGAATTTTCTACCTTAGTTATAAGATAAGATCGTCAGATAGCGGTCAATTCTTTTCAATACACTGACTGCCGATCGCTCGATTATGTTTTTACGATGAACCTCTATCGATGCCCGCGTGCTCTACTATTAGTACTCTTAACACTTTACCAGGATGCTCGAGAAATTTCATTGAACTCGGACAAAACATTTATACAATTGAATGTGAATAATGTACCACGTGTATATGCACAATTAATAATTTCATATTTACGCAATCAATTACCAAGCTCTCTTTTAAAAATGACTATACTCCTAAACGAACTATTAGCGAACAAATTGACACGTGACTTCTCGCATCAATAAGCATTGAGGAGCGGGTACTTGAACAAAACGAATCGCTTTCGACGTAAAGTTTATTTTCCTGGAGGCTATCAAAGTTTGGAATGCTCAAAGCAGATAAACACTACAACGATTATAGAGAAATGTCAATGCAAAATGTCTGTTCATATTCCGGTAGGCGTGGCTAGGCTTCTTTGCCTATTTTATGAATTTTAGGTGAAACTGGACGTTACCTGGTATATTGCAGCTCACACGCAGATGGGATATGCGCAATAACGCATATGCGAGATAAACAATCAGCAAATTAACTTTTTGGTAATACTGTACAAGTGGAGTCATGTTGAGGAAGCTCAGTTATGGTTTCATAAATGTACTCCCTTAGTATGTGAACTGAGATGGTGAACACCAGAACGTAGCATGTATACCAGGTCAGGGTTAGGCCATAATTTCAGTCCCCGAACTCGTAAAAGAACTAAAATAACGAAAATTGGAACAAAATTATGGCTTACTCTAACCTGCTACACATACTACGTTCCGGTGTCCACCATATCTTGATTCACATACTTCGGGAGTACCCTCATAAATAGTATTCCATTTCAATACAGATTGTCGTTGAGAAAATATTGTACAGATGCTGGAGTGTATTTTTGTGCGTGATTAAAAACGGCAATTTGTTTCCGTTACTTATTTTATAAGTCTCAAGAGTTTTTTCATTAGTCATTTCTGGCCTCTCAGAGGCATTACAAGCAAATATTCATAAGCGAGGACAAAAGTTACTAAATCGCGTTAGTTTTTTTACATAAATAAACATTTGAAATTATCACAAGTTAGCTTAGAAATTTCATTGAAAGATTAGTCATCTCGTGCGATTCTGGCGGCACAGATCTTTATCTTACAGACGTATTGCCTTGGGTTACATTTGATATTTTGTACAGCTCAGATTCGATAAAACAAGAAAATATGTAATTTTAAAAGTGCTTATTTCAAGTGTTCGCATTGACGACTCTATCAAAGCGAGTAGAAATATCGATAATTTTACGAAACTTTCGGTTTGTGTTAAAATGCTTCTATTATGCATAAATCATATTTGATAATTTTTGAACGCAGACAATTTATTGTATAATAATTTCGTTCCCAGACCCGTATTTTCAAAACCCGGTCTAAAATGGTTAATATTGTTAGATAGGTATTCAGATTACAGACATACCTAAGAATAGAGTGTTTATATTATTGTAGTAGTTTAGATTTTCGAATAAATTCGTTCTAGCTACCAGGGTATCGCTATTACTTGGTCTTTATATGCAATAAACATGAGCGATCTGTATATACTCTCAGCATTTTAATTGCATTCGGGCATAAGCGAAGATGTCAAGGTGACTTAATTAGCTTGGTGGGCGCTATGGCTCTGTGGTTAGAACGTGCACAGTTTTCTTGTCATTGCAGATTAAAATGTCGGTTTTAATTTTTATACCCAATACTTCAGCCAGAGAGTAATAAATATATTAGGTAAAGCTTGAATCAGGAATATTTTGATATTTCAACATGCAGTGACTTCTTACCTAACAGTACATGCTTGCACAATGTCTTGTTCGAAGTGGAAAACATATAAAATCGTCGTTTAAAGTACTCGATGCTTTTGGATTCGAAACCAAAATTGTTTACTATAGTAAATTAGTTTGAAAACTCTCAGAGGAGTAGCAAACCGCGCTACAATTAGTGCTGAACATAGATTTAAAATGTTCGCCCCAGGCATAAAGTTTTTTTCATTTTACATAAGCTTAGTGAAAAATAAAGCAGTGAATCATAAATTTATATAATACTTGTGAAATCATTTCTTGCTGAAGACGATAATGGCTATTATCACACGGCTGTTACAAAAATTCAGTATTTTTAGTTTTAGTTGCCTTAATGATTAAGTCCATGTTCAAAATTAAGTGTGTCCCGGGTATCTGCAGACTGTGGGCAAGTTATAATGCCAATGGGATTTGAACCCAGAATATTTAATCTGCGATGACAACATAGCTATGTCCATCATGTTTACTACACGGCAAGCAGTTCCCAACTTTTCTCAATAAATTCCTACATGCGCATAATTTGGATATCTTTATTCCTCCCTCGCGTTGCATTAAAACTCTGTATTTGGGAGAGAGGTGAGAGAGGGAGAAAGGGAGATAGAAAGAGAGATTCATTGATTCGTCAACTAAACAAATATAAAAATGAAAGCATACATAAAATAAATAAATATACATTATTGGTAAAGATTGGAGGGAGCGATACGACCATCATCCAAGTCAGCTCCGCCCCCCCCAAATTCAATGTTATTATTTGTTGTTTGTTCATTTAGCTAGAGCTACACACAACCTGTATATTGACTTTTGCACAGATTAAAAAGTTGTAATATACTCATGATTACGTTTTACAATAATACTAAATAGCTAAACAATATTTGCGAAACTACATCAAATGCAAAGTGATATTTCCTTCTCAAAAACGTCAAAACTTCCCCGGCTTCAAAACGTTGCATTAGGCCATAGCGATTGAAGCGATGCTCTAATATTTTCTAATTATAGTATCAAAAATATCATGTCTTTGAAAATAAAACAAATGAAATGGTTTTCAAGAATTTCATTGATATAGAATAAATATTTTATAATTTTTGTGTAGATATGCAACTTTATAGATATTTTATGTAAATAGTAAAATTGAAAATGGATGATGTTTTTGCAAAGTTCCTTCGCTTGTGGATCTCTATCTTTTGTGTTTCTACCTTATCAAATTGTCAACAATCAAGAATGGGGAAAGGTATATTTTGAATTTGTTGTTATAAATTAGTTAAACTTTGATTGTAGTAGCAATGAATGATAATCCTGTACCAAGCTACTGAATGGTAATTCATTTTTGAAATATATATATATTTTGTTTTTTGTAGTTTTTCCCTTGCATGAGAAAGTTAAAAGGTCACAAAATTTTTTGTGCCACGAAAGTGGGCGACGAGCGAAAAAAGGTTGAGAGAGATAAATAAGTTTAAAATAAGTAGATTAAACTAAAAAAAGATAGACATGTTGCACGTAAAAATTGTTTTTTCACTTTGTGTAAACCTCTGTAAAGTGAAATCAATCTATTCACACTGGAAAAATAGTGTCTAAGACAGTGGTTCTCAACCTTTTTTCTCTCGAGGCCCACTTCCGTTGCACAAAAAATTTTGTGACTCATTAACTTTCTCATGCAAGGGAAAAATTATAAATATATATATATATATTTCAAAAATGAATTACCATTTAGTAGCTTGGTACAGGATTATCATTTATTGCTACTACAATCAAAGTTTAACTAGTTCATCAATAAGTCTTGTAATTTTTAATATGTTTGTGGCCCACCTGGAAAGGTTTCTGTGGTCCAGCAGTGACCATGGCCCACTGGTTGAGAACCGGTGATCTAAGACAGAGTTTTCCAAACTTTTTGGGCCGAGGCCCTTTTGTTTATGATAATTATTTGTGACGGACCCCCATTCTACGCCGTATCAATTACTGCGCACAACGAAAAACGTTTTATTCACAACACAATAAAACAAACGACATTAGTGTGATGGATGAGGTTGCTTTTCACTGCACAATTTTTTCTTTCTTCAATAGTTTTTTTTATTTTTTTGGGATAAAACAGGTTTGACTTCAGATTCAGAAACAGTCGTCCTTTTATTCCGTTCCAAAAATCTAGCCATGAGTTCTGATCTAAATATAATAATTAGATTACAATTTAAGCTAACTTAGAATTCACGTAGCGACTCAGAGCGGGACTGGTGGTGTGGGGAGGGGGCAGAGAAAGTTTTATAACCTACATTTTTCACATCTCCATAGACGAAAGAAATTTGAATCAATACATACGTTTGGGAAACCCTGGTCTAAGACATCGAGTGTCTAAAGTTTCAAAAATCACATGCACTAAAGTTTGTAACAATGTTTATTATGAAACATAATTTACTTTACTATTCGGTGGCTATGAAGATCGTAGTTTAGTTGTCCTTCAAATTGTTTTTATTAACTGTCTTTGTGTTGAGGTTTTTTTGTTATTGTTCTCGACGGGAAATATCAACTGATATACCAATTATTTACAAAGTTTCGTAACTTGAAGGTGGAATTAAATGAAAGCCACTGCTACTCTTTTTACATTTCTTATGGGGTACGTTATTTCACCCAAAATTTTGCTGCTTGATGTTAAGTAAAAAAGAATTCTTTTTTATCAAACTTTGGAATTACATTTAGACCTAACTCTATAACAGAACTAATACTGTTGCTCATTTTCAATTTGTGGTATTGAGACGTTATAAACAATCTCTAGGTATTTTACAGCATTTCATTTTTGTATGCATGATTGTACTTCTGCATAGAAATAATCAAGATAAGGGTTTTGCGACAAATAAAACTTCTTCATAGTGTTGATGTTTCGTATTATAACTCAAAAATCATACAGTAATCTTTCTGGCAGTTATTTTGAATATATTTCTGTCTTATTTCTTTTGAGATAGCGAATGCTACACTCCAAACGGTAGAGATTACACTGGGAAACAGAACACAACATACGTAAAGGGAAGTGGAATGTATGAACCAACAATTCCGAATGTTGAAGTTTGCTTGCCTTGGAAGGATCAAGATACCTCACAGTTCAATGTCACACTTACAGGGAACTATTGCAGGTAAGCGAATAATTGTTGTTAATGAATAAGCAGGATTTGTTTTTGAGTGTTTTACCCAGAAATGAAGTAATGCATTTTGTGTATGCAGTGTGCATTTTTGATATGTTTAAAAACTAAAAAACTACTGATTACTAATTTTAGACTTCAGTATTTTGTATTGCCCAAAACAAGGATTTGTACACTCTGATACATAGAAATTATTATTTCCTTTATGAATTATCATATCATTTTTTATATTGATTGGGTTTATGCAGAACTAACTACTTGTTCTTCCTCTAAGCTTTCATGACGGTAGATCCGCATTGCATTAGTAGGAACAAAGATGACTATTCTATTCAATTCAAGGGTCTTGTTGGGCACTAAAACAAATATAATTTTGTTTCATCTGGCCCTGGTCTATAACGTTATAGAAATATATTTGTGAGAATTCCTTTGAATTGTTCAAAAAGAAAATTTCATAGCATACAATTTCATAACGCACAAAACTTTTTTGCTGAAAACATTGATCTTTTTCACTCAGAAACCCAAACAACCGACTATTTCCTTGGTGTTATGTAATGAAGAACGGAGCCCCAGGATGGTCTTATTGTCACATACCGACTTGCAGTAGTAAGTGCTATTTTTTAGTTCATATTTGGATGCTTCAACCCGTGTTTTTCTTGATGTATTATTACATAATCCCTATTTTCTATATTTAATTTTTTGTTAATTTGTTTGAACTTGAATAAATACACAGGCAATTCGAACAGGATTCTTTTGACCTCAGTGCCTTCATTCAATAATGAATTTAAATTGTTGATGTCTCTTCACAAATTGATAAGTGGACAAATGGCATGCACCATTGAGCCTTTTCCCATTCTAGCCAATGCAATATTCCTAACTGTTATTTCCATATGCTTACTTGCTTTGACTTTAGAATCACGACAAAATATAGGATGTCTATAAAGTCTTAAATTTTTATTTAAATTGCGAAGGAAATTTATCGATACCATATATTGTTTCGGCTCTCACAGATGTATTAAATAGAGTAATAATATTTAAACAATTACTGATTAAAAAACAACAAACCTGGTTAAGATATATGGAAACTGACTTCATAACAAAATTGCAATTGTAAAAGGACTAAGCCAGAATGATTGCGGTACAAAAGCTGCGCAGACCCATTCGTCGAATTATTCAAGTTTTGTGGAATTAAAACGTTCACTAAAATATTATAAAAAGACAAAACCGTTTTCGTGGTCATGTTCATGACTAAAATTGATCATAAAAATTCCGATGCGAGAGGCTATTTTTAAAGTATAGTCAAATCTATAACCGGGTCGAACAACTAGATTCGATTTTGTTTTATTAAATGTATACGAAATTTAATAAATTACCAACAATATAATATATAAATTCAAATTCTGTTTCAGCTCCTGCACTGATTGGTTGTTTTAAATTATACGTCAACGATGACGCACCGCCAAAAGGCCAGAACGTGACAACCACAGGTCCTCCTCCCGACCTTATATTAGACGGAGAAGATAGTATAACACTGGATTCGCAAATGAGAATAGCAAGATGTTTGAATTTTTGCAGGAGCAAGAAATACGATTACGCAGGTCAGCAGATTCAAATTTTAACAATAAACTTATAGCACAAGCATTTCATGAAATACAGCATTTCATGAATCATTACCTAGTGTTATGTGCAAGTCGCAACTCTGCGCTTGTATTGTTGGAGGGATTTATATTGTGTGCACAAATATTTGTTTTAGTAACTACAGTAATAAAGAACTGAAGCATATTAGTAACACATTACGATGCAAAAATCCACCCCAAGAATGATTAAATGCCCCCAGATAAGAAATCCTCCTCGTTGGAAAACATGGGGCTAAAGAGATTTAATCAACAATGTACAGACGTTTAATCATACATTGGGTTGATCACTAGCAAATTGTATAAGCATTAGGCAGACCTCGAAAAAACGGAATATGGTACATTTCTGGACAGAACACTAAAAAGTTGTTGTTGGCTACAAAAAATCGAATCAAAATTTCTACAAGATTATATGCATTTGGGACTCGATATTAATTTATACGCACCAACGACATAAACTGGTAACTATTTGAATGTCCCAAATTCCATGCACAACAATTTCACACTTTTTAATTCTGTAACGTTTCAAAAGCAAAATATAATTCGTCCGGCCACTTGTTTGGATTATTGCTACAGCATCATTGCACTCATGCATACCAATCCACTACTATTAAGGCAGCAAGAAAAAATGAAAATATGTTACTATAATTAACGATAACTGAGAAATTTGTAACATTAATACAGGGGTGACCGGAGGTGATTCGTGCATGTGTGGTACGAATAAAGATGACGGGGCACAAATGAGAGAGTTGATCAATCATCTACATCCACATATGTGCTTGCAGTATCCTTGCGCTGACGATCGAATGCAGGCTTGTGGAGGAGATAATGCAATTGCTATTTATGACGGTATTTTTTTTTCTTTGTGCCTCCCTTTCCCCATAAAAATTTTAAAAAAAGTAAATAAATTTCTTAATTTCTTCTACAAAAATCAAATTTTTTAACAAATAAACACTAAAACTCCTGTTTATGTATGATTGTACTCGAAAGATCAAGCAATCTAGGACGTTCTGCGCAAAAGTTATGGAGTCTCTGGAATATTTTCATACGATCTTGATTCTGACTTTTTTGTTTCACGTTGTATTTTGTCACAGTTAAGGGGCGCAAAATCTTGTTGAGCAAATAATAGCCCCTTTTTTTTTTAAACTAATCAAAAAATTTCAGTACTTATAACTCATTCTAAGAGATAGTGGACTTAATCTGTGCAAAACCTAAGAGCAACTCTCACCTCAACTTCGTAAGCACCATGCTCATAAGATCGCAAATTTTTGGTATAAACAATTACGCGACCTCCAGAAGTATGCGCACCAAGGTGGCGAACAACATGAACATAGTATGTTTGTACCGGTTAGGCTTCAGGTTGTGCGACATCTTGGTGTGCATACTTCTGGAGCACCAAATTATGTTATGATGTCTGTAATAGTTCTTTCATTTGGAGAATTAATATGGGTAATCAGCACCGTTGTAGCGATAATGTTTTATCTCTTTATGTTACAGTGGAAGCGGGATCCTGCGACGGAGTGTTCGACAAACGTGACGTCGGCGTAATTTACTCCCCACGATGGCCGGGGAATTATCACAATGAGGCAAAATGTGGTTGGACAATTTACGTTCCGGAAAAGTACATGAAGGACGAAGAAACACGAAAAAAGCACCAAATGCACGTCTACTTCTCGTACTTCAACTTAGAAACAAAAAATGACACTTTGAAAATTTATACGTACGCCAATTCCACCGATACCAACTCAGTGAGGGTTGCGTCCTACTCTGGAAGTGACCATCCCGCCCCTATCGTACTGGAAGTGTCGGAAGTCTATGCGGTGCACATTGTGTTCAATTCAGACCCAGACCATAAGAAAGAAGGATTTATTCTGCATTATAACAGTAAATATTGAAAATCAAAAATGCTATATGTTTAGCTGCATAAAGTATTTCAAGTCCGTTGGGGATTTGTTTTCCGTTCCCAATGGATTGAAGGATTAAATATTGAAATCGATTGCTGGTACCCTAAACTGTTTCTTATCTAATTGTTCCGATTAAATTACAAATTTTATACATTTATCACGTATCAGTAACCACTGAAGCCCTGGCTTAATATTCTTTATTGTTAGTTTTTATCTAACAAAGATGACTGCTTGTTTTAACTTCGAAAGCGCGTCTCAAAACTCAGTTTAAACCTGATATGTATATTATAAGCTAGCTCTTCATTATGCTCGGTTTACATTTTTGAAATTTATTTTTATTTCATGATCTAAACGTAAACATGATATTGTGCATTTCAGTAACTAACTTGGAAGGCCAAATGGAAACAACGTTGCCTGATGTTGTCATAACCGAAACCACTACAAGTAAGTATTGTTCACCGCAAGTATATAGGATGTTCATCAAGTCTTAAAATTTTTTGAAATTGCAATGGAATTTTATCGATACCATATATTGTTTTGGCCGTCACAGATGTATTAAATGAAGTAAAATACTTAAACCATTTACTGATTAAAAAACAACAAACCTGGTTAATATATATTAAGAACTGACTTTCATAACAAAATTGAAACAGTAAAGGGACTTTAAAGACACCCTGTGCAGTATTATAATTAAGTCCCAGAGGTTATTCTATGTTTGATACATATATATATATATACAAATATGCCTTAATATTTTTTATGAAGTTCCATATTCTGAAAAAATTAAACAAACTTTCTTTTAATATATATTTTTGTTTTGCTGTGAATAACCTTTATAACGTAATTCGCATGTTGTTTAGTTATAACTGTTCGACCGCGTAATATAGCATAAATGACAAATTAGAATAAAAACGAACATTTCGTAAAATACTTATGGATTTCATGACGTCGTGTAATGCATCATTGATTGTTTCATTGTGAGTGTACGGCGCTCCCGTAGTATGTGCACCAAGATGGCGGATACCTGAACATAATTTGTGTACCAGATTAGGCCATAATTTTATTCCAATTTTTCCCTATTTTAGTACTATTGCGAGTTCGGGGACTAGCCAAGTGACCCCCGTTGTATTTGTACCTGAAATTATGGCCGAACTCTGTCTTGGTACACATAATACGTTCCGGTGTCCACCATCTTGGTTCACATACTTCGGGAGTACCGAATAAAACTGTAGGCAAATTCAGAATATTGTTTCCGTAGGAGTATAAATTGTGGCCTATTCTCAGTTTATTTGCAATATCATGTACTTCACAGAAATGGAATTATTTGAGTAAAATTCATGCAAAGTGTTAAACCTTATTCATATATTTCAATAAAAATAACAAGAATCAATAAGATTTAGCATCCATGATGCTACTCGATAACCATTACTGGGTATAAGGTCTCTCTTCACACTATGCAATTTGCAAATTTCATTTTTTTTCCCCAAACCTGTATGTACAATGTTTACTTTCCTATTGTGAGAAATACACTACTGACTAAATGATGCACGCTAGCAAAATGACACAAAACTAATTTCGCTCCGTGCATATCAACATCCTCAGATCGGCGATGGTGTGTAACATGTAGCATTTAGCGCTACTTCAATTCCATACTAGAAATTCTCCCAACTAGAGAATTTACTTAGAATTAATTTTTAGCATCAACAAGGCCAACAACAAAAACTACGACAACAACAACTAAAAGCCCTCAACATAAATCTACAACACAGCCCTCTTCTGCGAAAACAACAACAACCACTAAGGCTCCTGTCGAATCTCCTTCACTCACAGCAAGTACAACAACAATTATTTCCGGGGCAACAAAATCAACGACACCTAGTACAAATAGCTCAGGTTAGTTAAATGAGTTGCATTTTTATTCAGTTTGATATCCTTCGATCAGGTTTCTTGATGATAAAGACGAATTCGCGTCAACTTTTTTTACGGGTTGATATAATGAGTTAGATCTGACATGGGCAAACTACGACCCGCGTACAAAATCCGACCCGTTGGGGAATTCAATCTGACCCACCTGATGCTGCCACAACTGAACTAAAACCGAATTTTGATGTTTTAGCTAACAAATAGCTCAAGGAATTTGTTGAAATTGCGATTAAATTTAGTTTCGCATGGGACTTATTGTTTTCCACTTTTGCTTTGGTAACAATGTAAATACCGGTTCCAAAATTAAATTTTACATCACACTTACATGGACCGCCAGTCTAGACGAACAAAATTTCTGTCCCTGGTCCAAAAACCTACCCCTTGGATTAGATCGTTGGGTTTGGGTCCATAACTAGATTGAATTCTAGGGTTCAAAACGATTTCCGTGATCTCCATCAAAGTTTATAAAGGCTAGTAGGTAATGCTGAAACGAAAAATTTCCGTTTTTTTTTAAAATAATATTTGAGTTCGTTTGATTCTCTTCTACATGTATTGGGATTTTACAAGGCGTTTACCATTGGACTGCATGGGGTATTTTTTAGGCTGAATTTATCCGTACGGTACTATTAGAACCATCAGTGACATACATGAAGATCTTAATTTTTATATTACTTTCACCTCACCCCAACTCTAATCTGAAATTTGGCAACGTGATTTTGCGACTCTTATTTCATTCAACTGCTAGCCACAAGAGAGCAATGTTATCTAGTACAATGATAAGGTTATATACATATTTGGGCATACAAGTTTCTACATCCCAATCTCTAAAACATGGGTGTTCGTAAAAGAAACGCCATTCATTTACAGTGCTGAATTGGACTGCGCCCATTCCATTGAGCCTGAAAACAACATTTTTTCACTTAATCTTTTAGCTGTTCAAGGCAAGCAATCCTCTGGTGCAGATGGAGGCATGATCGCAGGAATTGTGATAGGAATCCTTGTGTTCCTAGTTCTAGTTGTTCTGGTAGCGTTGTATCTCATAAAATGGAGAGGTAAAGAAGCAAAAGATGAATCAACTCCAAACCCACCAGCGATGTTCAACAATCCTGTTACATTTAACAGCGATACCACGTTGTGATATGTCGAATGAAGTCGGTAAAAAAGTTTAGAAAACTAATATGTGAAGTATGTTTACTCAATTACATTCAGTCTGTCTTATACAATGCAGCAATATCAGAATGTTTGCAAAATTTCTACACGGTTAAAATACGGGAAAACGTTGATGACATCACCATGTACTTGCAAATTAACTTGAACCCTAACTTGGTACACAACCTAAGTTCAGGTTGTGCGCCATCTTGGTGCGAATACTTAAGGAGGTTCCATCATGTACTTGCAAATTATCCCTGAGCTTCGCTAGGTATACCTCATATTCTTAATATTGGGCGAGTAATCCGATTCAATATTGTTATATTATATTTCATGGCTGTTTATACTTTATTAGAGTTGTACAATAGAATTTCAATGACATTAAATGATATTAGAATCGCATTTGATAAACTCAACCCGTCTCGTAGAAATGTTTAAAATCTTGATCGAATCGTACATAATTAATGATTCACGAGTATTTTTGACTCGTTTCTGTTTATCGAAATATTAGTTCTTGGATCCTTACTAACATAGCACTTTATCATACATATTTGTCGTCTTCTAAAGTCTAATACTATAATATATAAAGCATCATATCAAATATTTTTCATAAAATTCGAACTGAAATTGCAAAAATAGCTGGAAAATCAGAAAATTTGAAGGTCAGATGAGATCACGAATAAAATGCGTGCTTTTTCATTTCTTTTTCGATATGTTTTTATTTTTTTTAGATTCTAGATTGTTTCAGGTTGACACCTTTTAGGTTCTTTTTGATTTCTGTAATATTCTGTGTAATATAACTAATGCCTTTAAAAAACTTTGTAAATAATATTCTTTGTAAAAATGAAGCTGTTTGACAAATTTTCTGTTTTTCTAGCGACCACCCTGTTATATTCAATTATAATAACGTTTGTGTTTTTAGCTGAAGTTTGAATAATTTTTGTTGAAAATGAAACATGTTGTATTTACAGGTCGCTATGAAAATTTTAACAACCTTATAACCAATACAGTCGTTTTTATTATAAAACTATATATGAAGCAAATGCAAACGCAGTGTAGTTTTATTTTTCGTCTATTTAGAAAAAAAGAACAAAATGCAATTTTATGACGCTACTAACTTGCCAAATATATATTTGTTTGTTTCTTATTGTTATCTACTACTTTCATGTATCGAATAAAACAATTATATCTTGTATATGTTACTTATTCACCACAGTCGACCAAAATCTAAACTTTGACAGCACTATCGCGTATAGTATAAGACAGTGGTTCTTAAAGTATGGGTCGCGACCCAAACATGGGTCGTGGAAGGTTTAAAAATGGGTCGCGACAAGGTCGTCACTGCAAGGGCAATCTAAGAGGAGAAGGAAGAATTTCCAGCTTTCCCAGTGTTTCAATTTAGCTTCTAAACTCTGGTATTTAAAAATAATGAAATATAAAATTTCATTCACGGAAAGAACTGTCCTGAGCTCATTGTTACATCACAATTCTGATATGCCAGTCACGTGTATTATTTTTATGGTATCGGTAACCATGCACGTCGCTTGTCGATGTGTTGACCGCGTGGAATGTCGTCTTAGTGGATTAAAATAACCAAAAATGGGTGTCTTTTTGGTAATGTAAATTGTAATAGACGACGCAATGAAGAAGGTCGCTTCTCGACATTAGATTATTCAATATCTAGAGAAAATGTGACTTCATCTCGAGGCACCATTTACCGCGAACGAAGCAGTGTGTGCACATTTGATGAGTAAAAAGTTGTATATTGCGAGAGATACCGAAGGCCAGCTAGGATGTCGTGCTTGCGACGGACAGCGGACGCCTTTTCTGCTACAATTCGCGACAAGGCACTTGTGCGAGCGAGGATATTTGGCACTGACGGTTATCAAAACTAAGCTCGCAATCGCCTCGATACCCGTGACAACTTGCGTATTGCGTTGGGTAAAATAGAGCTGTGTATTGAAGATATATTGAAAAGGAAATTTCAGTTTCATCAATCTCACTGAGTCAATGGACTGTTTCTAATAAATAGTTGTCTGTATTTGAGTCAAACTGTACTAACATTAAAAACACATTTTGCGTTATTTAGGATTGGGTCGCGAGTATTCATAAAACTCAGATTTGGGTCGCGCTCGAAAAAGTTTAAGAACCACTGGTATAAGAGCTGTTACAAAATTTGTGGAACACTTTGTGTGGATCGTTTACAATGTCATTTTAGTATTTGCAGGGGAGTCAAATATCTTATTTTCTGGCATATCACTTTAGGTTTTTGGAAATATCTCCAAAAAAGTCATACATCATCACCCGTAAAGGTTACTTGAAGTCACGAGCGATAAATGAAATTCCAGGATCTTCTGAAAGCATGCTGATTTAGGGTGGTGAGTTTTACAAAAGAAAACACCAGTCAAGACGATATATGAATCTGTCAAATGAATTTGACCACAAGTATAGTTAAACGAAAAGGTAACTAATATACACACAGGAACATCGATTCTGCTATGATGGGAAAGAGTATGTTTTGCAAATCGGACGCCAATGAAAGACCAATTCTTCTCACACCAAACCTACATTTCTTGTCATTTTTACTGATATTAACTGAGGTTTGAATTAACTTCGTAGTTCTAGTCTATTTCATTCGAAAAATCTACCAAAATTTAACTCTCGGCAAGACAAATTCCAGATTCACTTGCCAAACATCAGTGATTTTCGATCTTTCTTCTCTCGTGGCCGACTTTTGTTGCACAAAAAAAACTCTGGCCCATAAACTTGCTCATACAAGGGAAAATTACTAAAAAAGTTTTTTTTTTTTGCATACATAGACGCTTTGATATTTAAAATAAGAATTACTAATCAGTACCAAAAACTTTATCAACATTCATTGATACTACAATCAAAGCTTAACTGTAGGGACACAAATGAAACTAAATTTATCAATACCTTTAGCAATTTTTAATAGATTTGTGGCCCACCTCAAAATGTTTCTGTGCATGGACCAGACGTGGGCCATGGGTTACTGGTTGAGAACCGCTGAACTAGAGGTTTACAACTGTATATCAAACTTAAAGCATTATAAACTTTCTCAAATAACTATTAACATTTGCCAACGCTTACAACTTCAACGAAACCATTTCCGATTTCCATCACATATTTTTGCATATTTAAATAATATTTACATTTAATTGCATCAAAAGTGATAGAACGTTGTAACACTTATTAATTTCTTCAGGCATTCAGCATTCTTTCTTTCTCACGCAGACTGTGTATACTGGCGCATATTTCATTTCTAGTCAGATAAAACGGTATCTTGGTGTCATCTGCTATATCTTCACTATTATACAGATGAATCTACGTTGCCACTGAAATCTACAGGATTGTTGAAATTTGAAGGTGGTTCAGGTTTTTCTGCCTTCTTTATTGCTCGCCTTCTCAAGTACTTTTGCAATGCGGTTCCCCCGATTATTAGCAATGCTGTGAAGGCCGCAATGCCAAGCATTACGCCGACAATTTTACCGGCAAAACCTGGATCGTTTGTTATACCTGAAAGCGGAAAACAAAGTGATAATTTATAGAAATTCGACGCAAAAATCGGAACTGGCATCAAAGCTAAATATGGCAATAGGTTTTGCGGTTGATTTATGGTTTTGAATCTACCAAAGCAAGTCACGAGGCCTTTGTAATTGTTCAATAATATTGGCTCTATGGTGATTTTTCATCTTTTCGAACCTTAGAATATTTCCTTCCCGTTACGATCCTCGAATCAAAACTCTTAGAAAACTCTAACATAACTACAAATTTTCGCGTGAGAGTGATTAATATAAAATCATGTCATATTTAATAGTTGATATAATAGAGTCGGTCTCAACGAAAGGACGTACGTAGATCGCCATAAAATTCAAACTGATTTGCTCAAAAACAGAGGGGTCTGTGTTCAGTTCTTTTAATTCTATTAAGTACATAAATTCCTTGAACATCTAAATGGTTGTTTGACTACATCGAACAAACCTATTGCTATGTTTATGTGAAAAAAACAGTAAACTGTTAGCCATTGGTCAAATTTAAATTCAGACATATTAATGGAATATTTTAAATAAAAAAAAGTTAGACCTATGAAGATAAAATTAGCAATTACTGCCAGGAAGGTTGTAGCAATATTGAAAAGAGACCTTTTTTATTAGTAGTTAAAACTCCTTTTGTCGATATCGTCGTCAAATCGTTCGGCAAGGAATTCGTTGATCGTTTGGATATTGGATGAGTTGCATCATTATCGGTTGTAGGGGTTTGTGTTTGCTGAAAATAAAGCCGACAAATAAATATATAGAAATGCGTTACTGCAAAATTGCCGGCGCTCCCGTAGTATGTCCACCAAGATGGCGCATACCCTGATAACCCCTACCCTGGTACACATACTATGTTCAGGTTGTGCGCCATCTTGGTACACATACTGCGGGAACATCAAATGGCCATGTTGTCATTAAAATTTTGAGAATGAGGCTAGAAAAAAGACGTCACCAGAATTAAAAATGAGCACAGTGTAGATCTTCTGTGTTCGCATTCCGGCGATCTGTTAGCCAGGGAGTTTTTCATAAGGATAGATATACAACAGTTACTGTAAAAGATTTGATACTACTTCGATTTGGGCTTTGTGTTCATTTATTTGAGCACTGCTCTATTGTTTGTTTTTAATATACTTTCAAAATCTACCTGGGTCAATATAGGCTTCGTTGTAAGTTCTCCGGAATCTTGTGACACCGGCACTGTTGTTATCGGTGTCGTTACACCCGTTTGAGTGAACAATTGAGTGGTGGATTTCGATGCTTCTGTCGTATTAATGATGGGAGTTTGGCCTGTCGAAATAAATATGAACGGTTATTAACAATTACGGCGGCGTTATAGAAAAATTAAATATAAAAAAATACGAAAGAAATATAACTAACGCAGACAATGCAAAAAATATAGTTCCGTATAATTTTAAAATTTTATATTTAAGTTTTTTAATTTTTTATTTTTATTTTTAAAAATTTAATTTTTTTATGACAAGACAAATATAATGAACCGACGGCTGTAGATTCATGATGATATTAAGGTGGACAATTAACTTATTGGTATGTATGATTCCTGACTTCGGAAAAAAGTGTTTTTGTAATTTGAACTGATTCGTGCGAGAGTATTGTATACTGAGCCCCAAAACAAACAAATTATGAAATCAATGACAGACATTAATAGAACGAAGTATTAACCGAAACAACAATAAAAATTGCGACATCTGGTAAGCGGTATCCAGGTTCGGGACATTCAGCGTAAAGCTGCTTGACATATTCAGAGCGAACGTGACTTCGAAAATTCACTCTAGCGTCACAATTCACAGTAATTTATGAAAAGTATATCAGGTATGAGAAAGTAAAACCACACAAGCGCCTGATTTTTTATTGTTTATCTCCAAAAAATTGCTAAAAAAGAAATGGGATTTTATATTGATCTCAGTGGAGAAGAAAATTAAGAAAAAAAATTAATTTCATGGCTAATTCAAGACTTTGTGTTTGGCTTCCTGGTTGGTCATTAAATATAGTTATTGCTGAAAATATTTGGATGGCTCAGAAAAGATTTTTTGTAACAATTCACAAAAAAATCTCACTCACCTTTTACAAGTGTTGAGAATGTGACGCTGGCAGTAAATATCACGTAACTAAATTCTAATACCTTCATATTTTTCAATAATAAAATCTGTTCGAATATAAAATGGTGAATTTCGTTGATCTTAATTATTTGTAAAAGCAATACTTAATATTTTAGTTATTCAACATCTATGAAAACAATTTTTACGAAAATTTATTACTCCATACAATAGAGGTATCTTCGTTTCCATGCTAAAGTTCTAGACGTGCTGCGGTCTATGGTGTCCTGGGTAAAACTTTTGAGCTTAAAACAAAACACACTGTCTCTTACTTACGCTGGCCGTAATTCGAGATATTAATTCGAAGCGCAAACTCCAAACGTACCTATTGTCGAATGGTTTTTCCATCAACGTACTGTACATGAATCACTGACTTAGCCCTTGCAGTACATATTCTTACCTTTAAATCGGGGGTCGGCAAACTTAATATACTACTTGGCCAAATACACAACTTTCAGGTAGCAATAAAAAATGTAGTCGTTCGAGAGCCACAAAAAAGGACCTCCTGAAGTATGCGCACCAAGATGGCGCACAACCTGAACTCAGGTTATGTACCAAGTTAGGGCTCAGGTTGTGCGACATCGGACCGCGGACCGTAGTTTGCCACTGCAAGAATCTGATTTTTGTGTAGAATGTAGATTGACGTCAATAAGCCTTAACTAACGAGATTGCGCGGGGCCTTGTCTGAGTACTGATAAGGATAATAAATGAAAATTAGGGTTTTGAAATAAAGAATGAATTCGTCCTTACATTTCATTACCGTTTAACTAGATACTGAATCGCGAATAAAATAATTTTACTTTACGAGTCTTGCATGTGCAGAACAAACCCGCTGACATATACATGGTTGTAAATATAATGTTTAGGTTTAATTATTTACACCTAGAATCCGCGACGAATCCATAGGTTGTGTTGGCACAAAGCTGGTCCTGGACATCGAGTTGTTATCGTCAATGTGAGTTACACAGAAACTACGAGTCAAAAAAAAGATTTACGCTATTATGTCGAAATTGTAGTCAGCTGTACGTATCTCTGCTTCAACTCTGATAAATAATTTGGAAGAAACTTTGCTAGAAAACAACGCAGCTTTATGATATCATAGCACAGTCGTTCAGTCATTATAACATCCAAAGATGACCTAATTTTACCATGTCCGGAAGTAATTTGTACGAAAACAGTGATATGACACGCAGATGTTTGATTCGAGTAATAAAGCATTCAACACGACGTTTTGAAGCATCTTCAGGCTGCCTACACTGTTCAAAAACACTTACTCGAAATCGGTCAAGAAAAATTCACTGGAACGTGCGGTTAGGAATAATAATAGATACATCAGTGGCTCCCAACCGGGGTTCCCCAATACAATCCAGGGGTTCCGTGAGTTCTCATTCAAATTCTAAAGTTTAGATTAGAGTCTATATTAATGTATATATATGTATACTGTTTAAATTTAATTTGATACATATTACATTTAGTTGCTGACTTTAAATATCACTTTGTTTCGACAGAATTCAGATATTTATAGTTTATAAAACTCCGGCAATAAAAGACAATTAAACTGCAGCACAGGGGTTTCTCGAGCCTCTGGAATGTCTCATTGGGGGGAACCGCTCCCCCATAGGGGTTGAACACCACTAATATCTGAAATAGTTTAAATTTTTTTTTTGCAAATAAGTGTACCAGTCTACAGCAGCAAAAATGACCACCTGGTTTTAAACTTTTTACATTCCACTTACTGCTAGCATGAGCAATATCTATCGCCTCACTATCTATTGATCTACACAACTATGCACCTGCATGAGAGTTTTATAAAGCGCATCAATATACGTGCGTGTTCTATATCACGTAATACACTAACCAGCTGATCATTCAAACGAATTCGACATCGTGCGATGAACTAATGAACGATCGAATCAGCATACAAGGTACTTGAATAAAAACATTTCCGCTTCACAATCCCCACTGTTATAAAATCTTCGTAGTGCTTTGCAAGGAGGATCTTTCCTGTCCGGCATGACATATTTCCATATTATTTTATTTATCTACAACCACCCTCCCTCTCTTTTTCAATAACATGGTATTACGTTGTCTAAATGTACCACTGAATTCAAATTCTGCAATCTTTTAAGTTATCACCTCAAATAAAATTATAATGAATATTGAAAACACGGCTGTGTCATAATATTCAGAAATCATCTGAAAGCATTACACCCTAGGTGTCTGCAATCCACTACAAGTATTTATTCTGTTTACACAGCATTTGCGTGTGTTATCATTCTTGCAATTTCCATAATGAACATCTCGTACTATAAAAAGACACGCTAAAACCACGCCTGGGCGGTGTAATTCTTATATTAACGTAACTTGTATTCATACTGAAATATACGCTTTTATAAAATTGCAGAAAATTGTTCTACATTCTGTTATCATGCCATTGAGCAACATTTCAATTGTATTTTCATTCTTACACATTCAAGTCTGTCCCCGTGGCATTTTCACACAGTTCTTGACACGTTTACCACTATTAGTCATTTAGGCTGAAGACATTTGATAACAATAAAAAAAAAAGTATTTACCTTTGCCTTTGACTGGCAATACAAGTTTTATGCAGCTCACCTAAGATCAACCCGTTTTGTAGCTCAATATGCCTAAAAGGCGTCGGGTGAGAAAACCAGTAATTAAGCGTTGGCATGTGTGATGCTGATCATCCATTGAACGGGCACCACGCTTTGCACATGAGTAAATCACACAGGGTACGCGTGGACCAGCAAAATTATTCTATTAATTATTGTTATTAGACGGCCTCCCCTTCACATATTTAGATATTACATGAAATATTGGAAACTACTCGATATTTATGCGAAGCTTGCTTATTTTCAGAACCGGAATTATTATTTTTAATGTAACTTTATCATTTATTCAAGAACTTTTACCGTTACCATGATACTGTTATTACTTATCGGCCTTTTGCAATCATGTGAGCAATGATCATTTCCAAATTTCAAGGGATTTTGCTTTGAGAATCTTTTCGATGTTCTAAAGCAGTTACATTTGCGGAAGCACTTTCTCCACTGTGAAGAGTTTGAAAGCTAAATGTAGATATAGAAACACTTTTGCACGTTTCAGTGAATTTTTTTGTGTTTTTTGCATGTTTTAGCTTGATACATGACAAATAATGATCAATTCGTTTGCAAAATATAGGTGTTTGGGTGCTCCCGAAATATGCGAACCAAGATGGCGGACATCGGAACGTAACAGGTTAGGGTTAGGCGATAATTTTTTCCCAATTTTCCTTATTTTAGTCCTATTATCAGTTCGAAGACTGGCCAAGAGCCTCCCGTAGTATTTATACCTAAAATTATGGCCTAATCCTAACCTAGTACACATATTACATTCCGATGTCCGCCATCTTGGTTCGCATACTTCGGGAGCCCCGGTGTTTGTTTAGTATTGGCCCGTTTACCTATTCTTGGCACTATTATGGCCCGCGAACAATGCATAAATATTTTTGTGGCTCTTGAAGCCGACAACGTTGGACCACCCTGCATAAAGCATCAATAATTTTATGGCAATTCGAATACAGATAGACAGGACTAAAAATGCAGTGCACCTTACAAAAATACAGACCGATAATTATTTCGTATTTCCGCTTCCAATATATAATAAGATAAACTGCTTGGCGTTGACGCCCATATCAACTCACTAGAATGTAACGCTTAAAGTATGACTGGAGTTTAATCCGTTGACTTGCATCTATATAATACCGCCTCATTGTCTCACATTTCGCAGCTATCCTAATAAATGAGAAAAATATTATAGTATGACCACAACTGATAGGCTATTTGCTGTCTTTCAAGCAACAAAACTTCATGACGGTCTTCTTACAATATCGCTACAAATCAGTGGCGCGTGAAAAAGATGTCATAAAAGAATACCCCGCGGCTCCTAGCAAATCGTTGAAGCGTGTCTGAGCGTTTGTGTCTAATAGAGAATCATTTATTAAACTGGATCATGAGATAGATACGTTTCGATACGAAATATATTAAGATAGATAATTTTATTTCGAGATAGATGACCGTGTGCTGGTCCACTCCTCCTGACACGCGAGCCAATCAAAGACCAAATCTGAAAAGAATGCAATTGGTTTTACCAGTGATGTATCTACGTAAAATAGCGCCAATGGCGAAGTTTAAAAATGCGCCCACCTGGTGGTTGGTTGACAATTTTCCTTAACGGTTGTTGTGTAAATGACACAAGTAAACGTTATCATGGGACTAAACATATAATTTTACTCGGTTCTAAATTTAAGTTGGTTTATGGAAACATTACAATGATTACACAAATAAAACTTTTCTCTCTTTTTGCGCCCCTACCCACCCAAACGGCAGCCATGGCGCGAGGTATTACTGCCATACCCTGGATTTCACTTCTGTTCTTCATATCTAACGCTCTGCGACAATATTTCCAGCATAATATTGACTCCCGATGATAATGCCGCTTAATAATTTACTTCGGACAATGGTCCCAATGTATCTGCCACCAATGGAATTACATTCACTGCAACTTAAAATTGAAGAATATGAGGCGCTATATTCAAGGAACCATGTTTAAACGTTTTTCGTTGTTAGACGCTGAATTACATTTACAGAAAGCTTATTGTGCTGCACACATTATTGACTGTGTTTGATAAATCGACGTCGGAAATAAATAATTCTCAGCTAAACAAACTAATGGTTCGTTTTGAAACGTATGTGAGGCATATTGATGTTTCATTTTAACATACTGTAAACTATTTGAGAGGCTTGTTGTTGAAGTCGGAGTCGAGCTCCCAAACCCCAATTTCAACATTTTTTCAAAAGCAATTTGCAGTGAGATATAAATTCTTACGTCTTTCCCAGCACCATTTTATTCTATTCTTGAACGAATTACAGAAAACTGATCATTTCTGTGTACATTGGGTAACTTCTTTAAGCGAAGTATCGGAAGGGGGAGAAAAAAAAAAAAAAAATTGGGCTAGCTACGTTATTGCAATTAATGATGCTTATGATGACCTTGACAAGTTTTGCATAGATGAATCGAATTTGGCTATTTGTTGAACAGGGTGAACAGAATCTGAACA